TCTGCCTGTTCTTTTTTTGCTGCTCCTTTTTCCAGCATTTGGTAGTTTCCTCACATGTATCTGCTGATCAGTTATCAGCTGAAGACTGATCTGTAGAAACTCCCTGTAGATCTAGAACTTCCTGTAAAGCTCTTTTCCTCTCTGGTACTCCACCCTAAGAATTCTAGCTAAGTCGGTCTCTTGGCAATTCTCAGTTGTCTCCTCAACCTAGGGAAACTGCAGCACTCAGTCTGGGCTCCCCATCTCTACACTGATACCTGGAAATTCCTTCATAGTGTTCATAGGGATCACCACCCTGCCCTGCCTGTTGTCCAATGTCTGAAAACACTGTTTCATATACTTTAATTTTTTGTTTTTTGTTGAAAATTGAAGGATAAATCCAGTTCCTACTATTCCATCAGGGCCAGAACAGCTTTTGATCTAATTATATTTAATTCTAATACTCAAAACTCCTTGCTGCAGTTGTCTAGAAACTACCACACACCTGTCTCCAGAGCATTCACCCTCACCGTTTACAAATATCTTGGCTCATTATTTCTCCTTATGACAATACTTTTTCATAAATCTGGTGATTTCAAGATTCACTAGATGATCATTTCAATATCCCTGCCTCTCAGTCCCTACTTCTTATTCCATGATCACGTCCTCTACCCTACACCTCAGTAGTCTTTTCTCTTGTTTATACTCTGATCGCATCCATAATATAACTCAATTTCAAGCATTCCATTCTTCAACCATGACCTCCTCTCTTTCTCTCTTGCCTTGCTTTATATTCCTCCATAGCATTTATCACCACCTGACATACTAAATATTTAATTTTGTTTGTTGCCTAGATCTCATTAGAATATAGGCTCTGTGCAGTCTATCTTCTCAGTACTTAGCACACATTTAGGTACTATCTCCTTGAAACTTTCTTCACTTGGCTTCTAGGGTTCACTTGCTCTTGGCTCTCCTATTATCTCACTAGCTAGTCCTTTTTTGTCTCTGCTGAAAAATGAAAAGGGGTAAGAGGGTACAAAACCCATCTTAGGGAGATAACCGGTCTTCTATGATAAGCTGGCTGAGGCAGCAGGAAGGCCAGACAACTATCTACCCTCTAGGGAGCAAGACATTTTAGTACCCAATAATGCCGGTAGTTACTTTCTATGTATGTAGATAGGACATCTGCAGCGGGACAGCCAACATATGAAAGTATATTAGCTTTCTCCTACTAAAAAGGAAAAACCACATCCTAAAAGAGAATTTTTACATTTATTTTTTATTGCTTCAACCAATGGCGAATATAAAATTGAATTCCCCATGTGGTTACAGGAGCTATTGAAAGAATTCCTAAAGTAACTTATTTTATAAAGTGAATAGGTAGTCCTTAATTTATCTAGCCACAGATAGTTCATACAATTGTAATAAAAAAGGTAAAAATTAACATTCTTTTACCATAAAAAAAAGGTTGGTTAAATTTAGAAAATAATATTGAAAAATGCTCCTGACAAAAATATAAATAAAAAGAAACAACAAAATAACATTTTCCCCTAAATTTAGCCAACCTTGTAAGGAATGACAGAGGAATTGTCACAGATTGGAGGGAATTAAGGAAAAATCATAACTAAGTACAATTTGGAACCCTAGACTGAATCCCGGAACAGAAAAAAAAAAAGACATTAGTGGAAAAACTGATGAAATCCAAATACAATCTATAATTCAGTTTAAAAGTAAACAAACAAACAAACAAAAAACAAAGAAAGAAAACCTCCATTCAGGGGGCGCCTGGGTGGCTCAGTTAGCCGGCTGCCTTGGGCTCAGGTCATGATCCCAGGGTTCTGGGATGAAGCCAGCATGGAGTCTGCTTCTCCCTCTCCCTCTCCCCCTGCTCATGCGCTCTCTCTTGCTCTGTCTCACTCTGTCTCAAGCAAATAAATAAAAAATCTTTAAAAAAAATTAAAAAAAAGAAAAGAAAAGAAAACCTCCATTCAGTACAAGAAAGCTTTCCTCAGCATCTAGCACACATCCTCTGCAAAAGTACCTACTCTATCTGGAAGTTCTATGCCAGTCAAGACACACCTTCCAGGGCTGGACAGCTTTTTGTTCTTAGAAGGTTCTTCCTTTACTGCTTTGAGTTATATCCTTTTGTAGCTTCCACTCAATTTAGTTCTTCCTTCTAAAACTACACACAGTAAGTCTAATTCCTCTTTTACTTGACCTTCACATATTTTATATTTTGCCTCAAATTTCTTTGTAAATGTTGACACACCCAGTTCCCTTAATCTTACACATGATTTTTACATCATTATTCTTGTCACACCACTTTTAAAAAAGTGCTCCAGTTTGTCAATGGTCTTCCTTCCGCTTGATGCTATACTTCTATGTCTAAAACAGTCCTCCTTTGTCAGCAGCTACATCACGGTGATCATGAATCATTTACCCATACCCATGTGGTATAACTCAATGCCTTATCATTCAGTTGTACGACCTCTTTTTTCTCCTCACAGAATCACACTGGCAAGTGGTAAAGTGAGACGTCTGTTCAGAGTATTCCTCAGAGAGTCTTCATTCATCTGCCACGCTTTGAGAGTCATAAATCTCAACTGACACAACCACCTAGTCACAAACACACACTTTAAAGCTGCCGTGCACCATTTTAGAGAAATCAAAGCATTCAGATCGCAGTTTCCCAAAAGCCCTGGGCTGGAGTCATCTATTATGCAAAGCCAAATACTTCCTTGTATCTGGGCATCATCAGTCTATTTTCTGACCTTTCACCCTCAACATTCTCAAATCCCTTTGAAGTCAAAGCATCAGTCATTTTGGTCAGGTGTGAAAAAACGTGTAGCACGTGCACGGGAATGCTCTGATGTCCACATTGTGCAAAAACACGAACATTTAGAGATCACTTAATCTCTGCTGTTGCATAATGGGCCTTGATGTAAACATAAATACAGTATCTGCAAAGAAGCCTCCCCATATTTGTCGCTTTAGGGACGGAGGGTTCCTGGTCAGAAATGGGATACCAGCAACACTCGGTCACCTCACATAACCCTTAAGACGAAGCGGAGGGCGGCGGCTGGCGGGCTCTGGCTCTCCCCGGAGTGACCGCGCCGGCCGGCGCTGCCCGGACCCCCTCACCTCTCTTGTCCAGGAGCCACATGAACGCGAAGCAGGGCAGGAAGCCGATGGGTCCCCACAGCACAAGCAGCGCGATGTCCCAGCTGGAGAAGCCATAGGCCTGGCGCGCCGAGTTCTGGATGGGGCCCCAGGTGTTCCAGACTAGGCCCTGCGCGAAGCCCAGCAGCGAGAAGAGCAGCAGCACCAGCCAGCGGCGCCCGTACACCCGCCCGGGACCCGGGGCCGCCGCGGGCAGCGCCGCCGCCGCCGCTTCCCGGCTTCTCCAGACAGCCCCCGGCGCAGGCCCGAGCCCGGGCCCCAGCAGTGGCTGCCGCTCCTCCTCGCTGCTCCAGCCCGCGCCCATGGCGACGCGCGGCCCGCGGGGCCTCTGCCCAGCGCGGTCCGGGTGGCCGCCGACCAGCCCCGGGCGGATGCGGCCGCAGGAGGCGGAGGCAGAAGCGGCTGTGTTCACCCTCGGCCTCTGGGCCGCGCCCGGTGCGCCTGCGCCGCGCGAGCCTGCCCGCGGCTGGAAGGCGGGGCAGGTGCGGCGGGCTGGGAGGAGGCCGGGGTACTGCTCTGGGGCAGTCCCCTCGCGGGCACTGGAGCGGAAACTGAGGCGGTTGAGGGCGTGAAGACCCCCGTCCCTGAGGGAGGACAAGGAGAAACCAAAAGGCGGGAGGAGCGCGGCTGAGCCGGGGACAAGGAAACTCCCAGAAAGGCTGTGTTAAGAGGAGGTTGGGCAAGGAACCTGGGATTGCTGGAGGAAGTGCCTAAGTTTACATCACGTGTCGGATAAACAACTCGGATACCTCCGGTCACTTAAGCTATTGCTTGCTTCTATATTGGATTTATTATTTTTGTTGGATTTCTAACTTTAGATATTAAAGGGGGAGATAGGGTAAGATTGAGCTGTTGGATTTGCCCCTTGAAAATTAATTTCTTTTTTACATAAAGTCCTGCCTATTTTTTTAGTTACCCTTTGTCTTACATACCCAATGAGATTATAAACTAGCCAATTACATTCATATGTAATTTAAAAAGATATAGATATCTTTCTACTCGTTGCCTGTCATTAGTGGGCTAGCAATAAAGATATGTTGATTACGACTTAAGAGATTTCTGCCCCTAATGACTTAGATCCATCTCCAGTTATTACAATTTTGACCAGACGAAAAGTAAGTGAGAAGGGTGAGGGTTGTTGATCTCTTGATCAACCAGCCGGTTGTTTATTTCATTATACAAATCCAGAAGCCTGACAGCTGTCGATTAGTGCCCTTGAAACCCTAGGTCAAGCGATTTGGCTTGTGTGGGTCGGGAAATGAGTCACGGAGAGCGCAATTAAAAGACGTTTGCCTTTAGTTCGTATTCCCCAGAAGCCACAAAAAACAGACGGAATCATGTTGCTGCCAGAAGGGCAAGAAAGACGGAAAAGAGAAGCGTTAGCTCTCCTCGTAAGAGCGGCTGCAGAGTAAGGCGGAGGCGGAGCCCCCATTCCACTGCTCCGAGCCCCACAGAACTGCAAACAATACCCTAAAAACTCCAATACTCTTGGGTGTAGGAAAGCGGCAAGGCAGATAGGAAGGACATGACTAAAAAAGACGGGGAACAGAAACTAATCCAAGAAAAGACTACAATGAAAGAAGGCTAAAGTCTGGGGTTGATACAAAGCGCTACAGCCGAGACCACGTGCTGACATTTCAACAACCGGGGAATCAAAACAAACCTGCGTGGCCCCGCCCAGCGCCCGTCACGTGACTGCCGCGTGAGCGGTGCTTCCGGGGGAGCCTTGGAGTTGCTAGCGCAGCTCCTTCCTTCCCTGCGCGACTCCAGAGCCCGGTGTTTGGCGGTCCTCTGAACCCACTCCCACTCCACTCCACTTTTGGGTTGGGGCGGAGGTAGCCATGGCAGCAACCCCGGGGACGACCCCTGAAACTGCCCCGGCAGCTGGAGCTGGAGAGGTGGAAGGTAGGCGCCAGGCTGAAGTCAGGTCATGAGTACAACCCTATGCCAGCTCATTCTTGGCACCTCTCCTGCGGCCTGTTGGTCTAGCTTCTATTTCACGTCTCTCCGGCACTGCATTAAACTGTGAAGAAATTATTTTTTAGTGAACGTGGCTTTTCTCAAATTGAGGCATCCAGATTTCCAGTCATCGTGCAGGCCCTGTATCCCCACATCCTGCCAGGGCTGATTCATGCATGAGGGTGGTTTGAATGGATTAAAATTAAATCTCTGAAAGTGGAGCCCACTCTTGAGATAAATGGAAATATCTGGGACTGGGACATTTATGAACAGAGATTATGAGCTTTTGTTAGATTTTGGTGGAACCCTGCCTTAGGCAACCAGTGAGGTTGGGGGGCCCATGTGCCAGAGATCTCTGTTAGCCTTTATTGAGTGATTGCTCCATGCCTGGCACAGTTCTGGGTACTGCTACTGGAGAATCTAGAGACTTATGATTGTTTATAATAATGCTTTTTTCCCAGTTGAGTAAAGGGGCTTAGAAAGGAAAAGAATGATTAATACCTGGTAACATGAATAATACTAGCAGTACACACTGGGTGAGGGTTGTCACCAGGAGGAGAGATCCCTTTGGGGAAAACATAAATGCTTCAAGGAAGGAGTAGTTGGAGGTGGGTCTTTAAGATTGAATGAGATCCTGGGCGCCTGGGTGGCTCAGTTGGTTAAGCAACTGCCTTCGGCTCAGGTCATGATCCTGGAGTCCCGGGATCGAGTCCTGCATCGGGCTCCCTGCTTGGCGAGGGGCCTGCTTCTTCCTCTAACCCTCCCCACTCTCATGTACTCTCTCTCTCTCTCATTCTCACTCTCTCAAAAATAAATAATAAATAAACTAAAAAAAAAAAAAAAAGATTGAATGAGATCCTGACAAACTTAGGTGGTAGTGTGGGGGAGTTGTGGGAAGACAGGGAGCAGAAAAACAGGATAGCTGTGGTTGGAGATCAAATACTCATGTTTGCCTAGAGCAGGAAATGACCAATCCAAGTGGAGGAAACAATTATAACTTTGTCCTGTCTGACCAGTCTCTTGTCCTTATAAACTCCCTTATGTACCCCAAGGATACAATTCTTTTTTTTTTTTTTAAGATTTTATTTATTTATTTGACAGAGACAGACACAGCGAGAGAGGGAACACAAGCAGGGGGAGTGGGAGAGGGAGAAGCAGGCTTCCCACCGAGCAGGGATCCTGATGTGGGGCTCGATCCCAGGACCTGGGATCATGACCTGAGCCGAAGGCAGACGCATAACGACAGCCACCCAGGCGCCCCTAGGTTACAGTTCTTGAACTTCATCTATACCTCCCATCCATTGATTCTTATATTTTCTGTACATCCGTACCCCCTTATCCAGTTTATAATTCATGCTCTATTTTGTCATGATCTGTCCTCTGAAGATGCACCATTTCCTTGTCCTTCCCTTCCTTTTATTCTTCTGGCAGAACTCATACTCTTGATGAACCCAACCTTTTGTTCTCTTTACACCTGCACTTACATGGCTGAATTTTTCTGGAAAAAGTCCTGGGCAAACTGATGACAGTATAAAATGAAAATGATCAACCTCTTGAATGTTCATTCAGCATGGGCCTGAGACCCTCTGATTCTGTTTCTGTGGTAAGTTTACTCCCCCCCATGACAATTCCCCAAACTCTACATATCCTCTCTTCATCTCTTTCTCACTTTCAATGGGTGACTTTGCAGGTCAGGTCAATTCTGCATCTAATTTGTCTACTTTTCCCCACCTTCACTATCAGACCCTTGTCCAGAGGATCCACATTTCTCCCCTAAACCACTGCTATATCTTAAGGCCATGGGATCCTGTTTTTTATCTTGTGCCCCTCCAATCCCTTCTCCATTCAGCAAAAAAAAGTGACACTCCCTTACTTAAAACTCTTCAATGAATTCCATAGCACTCAGAATAAAATTCAAACTCTTAACCATGGCCTACAGAAATCCTTGGTCTGGGCTCTGCTGATGTCTCCAGGAGCATCTGTTGTCACTCACTTCCTCCTCCTCTTGTCTACTTTTTGCATAATTGGCTTCTTAATCTTCAGCTTTCAGAGTATGTCACCACCTGAGTTCTTACCAGACCAACCTATCTAAAACAGTCGTTTTAGTTTTCCCCTGACTCCTAACATCTATTGTTCCTGCTTCCTTCATTTCACTTATTACAATCTGAAATTACTTGTTTATTATTGTTTCCTCCACTTGACCTTAAGTACCTTGAGGGCAGGACCTATATCTGTTTTATTCACCATATGTGCCCAAGCAGCAAGTACAATGCCCAGGCACATAGTGGACACTTAGTACATATTTGTTGAGTGAATGAATAAGGGAACTCTGTGCCAAGTCCAAAGGCAGGAGGAGAAAGAGCATGGCATGGTCCAGGAACCGAAAGAAGCTGGTATTAGGAGTGGTGAGGGAAGTGGGATCGTGAAGGGCACCTTACACCAAGTTAAGGAGTCTGGACTTCATGACAGTAGGAGGCCTTTAAAGAGCTTTAGGTAAGGAAGTAACATGATCAGGTTTGATTTTAGGAGGATCAGGAGGATAGATGGGAAGGAGAAAGACTAAAGAACAGGTACTTACCCTTTAAGCCTCAATTTTGTCTTCTGTAAAATGCATGATTAATGTAAGAGTTAAAGATAATTGGGGATCATCTAGCATAGTTTTTGGCAGGAATTGCATATTCATTAGTGGCAACCATTTTTATTATTAAAGAAAGGCCTGGCATTGGTGACTGATGGATGTTGAAACTGAGAGAAAAGAACTTACAGAGCTCTGTAGTTTTCCAACCTGAGAAACTACATGTAAATTAGGAACCTGAAGAAAAGGAGGTGGTTGGGAGTAATGAGTGAATGCACAGCGTTTAGATTTGGAAAGATGATGCAAAAGATATCAAGCATGCAGCTGGGTAAAAGGAGGGTTTTTTTTAGATTTAGTATTCACTTTCCATAAATTCACCCTTTTAACATACACAGTTCACTGGTTTTTAGTATGTTCACAAAGTTGTGCAGCCATTACCACTATAATTCCAGAGCATTTTCATCACACTGAGAAACCTGGTATCTATTAGTAGTCACTCCCAATTAGACCCTCTCCCCAGCCTCTGGCAGTCACTAATCTACTCTCTGTCTCTGTGGATATTTGCCTACTCTGGATGTTCCATATAAATGGAATCATATAATATGGGGCTTTTTGTGTCTGGCTTCTTTTACATTGCATAATATTTTCAAGGTTCATCTGTGTTTTAGCATGTATCAATACTTCATTCCTTCTTATGGCCTACTGATATCCCATGGTATGGTAATACCACATTGTTTATCCATTTATCAGTTGATGGCATTTGAGTTGTTTGCACTTTTTGGCTATTATGAGTAATGCTGCTGTGAGCATTCATTTACGTGTTTTTCTGTTAACATATGTTTTCAGTTTTCTTGGGCATATATATAAAATTGGAATTGCTAGGTTATAAGATAATTCCATATTTAACTTTTTGAAGAAACTGGTGAATCTTTTTTTGAGAGAGAGAGAGAGCACAAGCATGGGTGGGGGGCAGAGGGAGAGGGAGAGAGAGAATCTTAAGCAGGCTCCATGCCCAGCACAGAGCCACATGCAGGGCTCCAGCGCACGACCCTGAGATCATGACCTGATCCGAAATTAAGACACTTGGACATTTAACTTGACTGAGCCACCCAGGTGCCCCAGAAGAAACTGGTGATTCTTAATTTTGAAGTCCTAAGGAGGGAAAAAAATCTGATGAAAATATGGATTTACTCCCCTGAAAAATGCAGCATAAATACACATTTTTGCAGGTGACTTCGTATTTTTGTATTAGATTCTCAGTATCCTATCTATGGAACTTTCAATCACATTTTAAACTGTCATCCTCGGGCGCCTGGGTGGCTCAGTTGGTTGAGCAGCTGCCTTCGGCTCAGGTCATGATCCTGGAGTCCCAGGATCGAGTCCCGCATCGGGCTCCCTGCTTGGTGGGGAGTCTGCTTCTCCCTCTGACCCTCTTCCCTCTTAAAAAATAAATAAATAAAAAAATAAAAATAAAAAAAATAAACTGTCATCCTCCCCAGAATCACCAGTTTGGGATGACTGCTTATTACCATTACAAAGTAAGTTAAATAGACAAAATCCTACCAGAAGAGAAGGCTTTGCTTTAAATTACGTAAGGTTTATGTGAACAAAGGGTAAAAAAAAAGTGCATACATTAAATACACAATGTGAAAGGGTCAGTATATTCAGGATAATGATGAATATTGTGGGAGTCATAAGAAAGTTAATTTTTGAGCAAACTTACTACCACTCCATTATCAAAAAATATTGGAATGTATATTATAAACAGAAGACTCATACAGTGAGGTAGAAGACAGATCTTGCCTTAAAATAGTTTGGAAATATAGTTTGGGGGAAAAAGATGCAGATAAAAACAGTTGTAGTATAAGATGTATGCACAAGCAGGAAGGAATTAATTGGGAAGTAAATATTACACACCTTCAGTGCTTTGGGGCTGAGAGAAGAAAGAACTAATGCAAACTGGATTGGTCTGTACTTCCTAGAGTAATTTGAAAGTTTGGTATAGTTTGAATATGGAAACGAATGGAAGAGGCCATTTCTGGCAGTCAAGGCTGGGATTAGGAGTGAGCGGAGAAAAGCCTGAGTCACATAAGGGCCAGAGGGCAGGGAGGAAGGTGAGGAGACAGACTGGTTCTACTAGAGTAGAATTGGTAGCAGAGAATGCAGGTGAAAAGAAGGAAGATTGTGTCCTTTGAAAAACCAAACAAGAGCAGGGTCAACCAGAAATGTTGACGTGAAGAAGAGGGAAATCATGGGTTTCAGTGTTATAAGAAAAAATAGAGCAAGGCACCTCAAAGAGTGAGGAAGTGGAGAGAGGTATTGGGGATTTGAGAGTGAAGAAGCTTTAGAATGGTTGCTGTAGGGGCAAGGG